TTCCCCCCTCCCAGGCAGTATTAGTCACCTTTCTGTGTTTCCAAAATGTTCTGTTGAGACGTGTATTATGGACTTCACTATCCCTGTTTTTCAGGCAGGGAAAATCTGAGTCTATTGGCAACTGAACTTGGAGAAAAAGTTGTAGGACTGGCAGTGAGCCCTAGAAAATTCTGTATCATAGGAGCCAGATGGGGCAAGAGAGTTCCTGATGAACTCTCAGAAACCCCTGCAGACCTGACCTGGTGAGGACAGGGGATCCAGGAAAGATGGCAGTGAAAGCAGAAGGGAAGGCACATTTGAGAGGCTACGTGGGTCATTTAACTCTACTTCTAAAACTTTTTCCTACTGAGATTCACAAATTAAAATTCTTTTTTTTTCTTTTTGAGATGGAGTTTCACTCTTGTTGCCCAGGCTGCAGTGCAATGGTGTAATCTCAGCTCACTGCAGCCTCCATATCCCGGATTCAAAAAATTCTCCTGCCTCAGCCTCCCGAGTAGCTGGGACTACAGGCACATGCCACTACGCCCGGCTAAGTTTTTGTGTTTTAGTAGAGACAGGGTTTCACCATGTTGCCCAGGGTGGTCTCAAACTCCTGAACTCAGGCAATCCAACCACCTCAGTCTCCCAAAGTGCTAGGATTACAGGTGTAAGCCACCGCGCCTGGTCTAAAATTATTATTTGATTAGTCTTTTCTCTGGAACAAGTAAGAGGGACCGTGGCCATGAATAACTGACTCCATTTGTCTGCTTTACTTATGAAAATCCTCAGTGTGGCACCACCAGCGTACCCTGAATTGGTCTTGTGTGTCTGCACATGACACTATGTGAACCAAGCTAAAGAGAACAATTCCCTGCCTACAGCTTCACTGGGTTCCTATTAAGGTTGCATCAACAGCAACTCCCATTTTTGTAGCACTTTACAATTCACAAACTACCTACTGTTTCAGTTGAATTTTCACACTGCAGGGCCCAGGGGAGAAATTCCCCTCTGCCCTCTAAAGGTTAGCTGAAAGTCACTGACAAGAGGCAAATTAATAGGAGAAAAGGCACACAAATGTATCTGATCACAGTTGTATGTGACATGGGAGGCTTCAGGATGAAGACTCAAAGCTACAGGGGACGCTATCCATTGTTATGATCAGGTTCAAAGTAGTGCGCAGTGTAGAAACGTGATTGGACAAAAAGGGATGATCTAATGCTCATCGACTGGGGAAACTGAGCCAGGCCTCTCTAGATTCTTCTTGGCCTCTCCGTGCAGCATTCCTTCCTTCTGGTATGGGGCAGGGCCCTCTCTGGAATGAGGATCTAATGACCTACCATTAAATAAGACAGGTCAGATAATTTATTTAAGGCCAGTTTTTACACAAGAAAGCCTGGTGCGGGTAGGGAGGTAGGGTTAGAGTAATGTTTTTAGGTGTTATGGCAGGCTTTGGGAGAAAGGGGTTCTGGTTTCTATGATCTGTCTTGGAGAGGAGAGCTTCTAGTTTCTTTTTTGTTGTTGGTGTTAAGACAAGTCTCACTCTGTTGCCCAGGCTGGAGTGTAGTGGCACAATCTCAGCTCACCGCAACCTCTGCCTCTCTGATTCAAGCGATTCTTGTGTCTCAGCCTCCTGAGTAGCTGTGATTACAGGCATGTGCCACCATGCCCACCTAATTTTTGTATTTTTAATAGAGACGGGGTTTCATCATGTTAGCCAGGCTGGTCTCAAGCTCCCAACCTCAAGTGATCCATCAGCCTTGGTCTCCAAAGTGCATGCATGAGCCACCATGCCTGGCCAGAGATTCTAGTTTCTATTGCTAGCCTCGTGGGAGAATAAGGCACCAGGGACAGAACAGGATAAGATCAGAGAAAAACTTTTGCTTCTGAGGCCTTCATTTTGGGGTAAACTCTTCTGAGATCTAACAACACAACATCAGAATAATGCTACTGTACAACCATGTGATAGATGAGGATATTGAGGCTCAGAGAAGTAAGGTGTCTAGCCTGGCAAGCACCCTGACAGGAAGTAGGAAGTAGCAGAGCCAAGACTTCACCTATGCTTCACCAATTTTAAGTCCAGTACTTACCTAAGAACTTCCAACAGATGCTCCCCTGAGGCAAGACTGGTTTCCAGGATTCACTCTTCTACAAGCCTGAGAAAATTCTAATTGCTTGACCTTCAGAACTCAGGAAGACCTTTATTGACTGTGGTTTGTGTCCTGGCCAAAAAAAGCATTATTACAGGGGCAGTTTGGAGCATGCCCTAACCAAACCAGGAAGACCTCCATCACAGGTTGATAAATAACCCTGCTTCCATGAAGGTGAGATGATTCCAAAGAAAATAAACACATAGCAAATTGCTCCTTGTAGTAGGAAAGTTCCAGTGTATGGGCATAAGAAGAAGTGTTTCCTAAGGAAGGAAGAAAATGGTGTTGGGAGATAGGAATAGAAGGTATTATGAAAAATAACTAATAAGAAACATGGAAGGCACAACAATCAGGATGAAATCATTTGCAAAAAGAAAAAGTCGAATGTGGTCCAAGGGAAAGGCTGTTCAATTCAGAAATAAATGTTTATTTAACAATACAAAGGTAAAAATGAAGAAATTTGTGATTCTGAAATGAATTAATGTGCATTGAATCCCATGGGGCGATTATGCCATGGGAGACACCAGTGACAAGAGAGGAAAGTGGTCATTATAGCCAAGTTTATTAATTCTTGCTATGTGCCCTGTGCTTTCCTGTGACTTTAAAGATATAATCCCATTAAATGTGCACAATGACACTCTTAGCATTTTGCAAATTGTACAAATGAGAAGCTAGGGCACAGACAATTTAAGTATCTTTTGCAAGGTCACTTAGCTATTTGGTGATGAAGGTAGGATTTGAACCCAAGGCTCTTGAGCTGAAAATCTTTAACCCTATCTTTTATCACTTCATGGAGAGTTGCCTGCTTCAATGACTTAAAGTTTACATCTTTAGTATTCAGATTGCTGCTTAAATCCAATGAATTCTACAGTGATCCTAGCAAATGTACATGGAGTTGGGGCGAGGGTGTACGGGAGGATTCTCTGGATGAGAAGTGACAGAAACACAACTTAAACTTTAGCTTATGCTTAAGCTAAAAGGGAATTTTTGTTTTATTTTTTGAGATCAGGGTCTCACTATATTGCCCAGGTTGGTCTCAAACTCTTAAGTTCAAGAGATCCTCCCACCCTGGCCTCCCATGTAGCTGGGATTACAGGCATGAACCACTGCACCCACCTTAAAAGGAAGATTGTTGGTAGCAGGCTGAGGTGGCTTCCAGAATGAAGGGTGAATTTGACAGCTAAGCCTTGGGAGGTCAGGAAACAGAGAGTCTCTGAGGTTTTAGCTCCTGGAATCAGGAATTTGAAAGCTCTCAAGACCCTCCACTTCTCACCCTGTTTCTCTCCTTGGGTGGACTTCTTCTATTGCAGGAGGGTTCCTTCATGGGGTAAAGGATGGCCTCTGATAGCTCTGGACTTCCAGCCAAGCAAGCAACTCCACAGAGGGCGGGGGTGGGGGTGGAGGGGAGGTGGGGGGAAGCCCTCTTCTTTTCCAGCTTCGTTTCCTCTTTTTCCCAAGTAAAACCTTTCCGAGGGAAGAACCATGCTTGGTCCATCTTGGGTCATGTGCCCAACCACGGGCCAATCACTGTGGTTCTGGGGACAAGGTTCTATGATGTCACCCTCCCCACACACTAGGGTCACATGCAGTTTTAATGGAGCCTTTCCCAGAGGAAGCTGCTATTCTGAATAGTCAAAATTATAAGTGTCCATGAGAAATTGGACTACCAGCAAGAAAATTACAAATATCAGAAGAGATGCAAAAAGAGGCAAGATCAAACAGTTTGGTAGAGGAACAAAATGCTCAGTAGACTTTGGAAACTCTATGTCATGAAAACAGGATTTGGGCATGAGGAAAGGAGATTTATTTAACAATGTAGGGGGTATAAAAAGCCATATAAGAGATGAATTAGGATGCCAGCTCTGAAACCTCTAAGTAGTTCTATTATGAAGGGAGATGTGTTCTTGGAAAGTTTACTAATACAGGGTTCATGCTCCTGGTTTGTGCCTAGTAAATATTAATTCATTTTGATAGCAGGTTTTATTAAGAATTATTGCTTACACCACTTACATATTTATAACATTTTTAGCAGAGTAATTTTCATATGTAAAGCTCTGCATAAATGCAAATGACAATAACGACAGTGTTGTTGGGCTTATATTTACTCTTTCAGACATGCATCTATTCATTCATCTCTTGTCTGCTAACTGAGTAGATACTCTATTCCAGGCACTCTGTTGGACATTCCTGGCTTCTGCCCTCAAGAGTATCTTAGTTTGCTCAGGCTGCTGTCCTGAAATACCATGGATTTGGTGTTTTAAACAATAGACATTTATTTCTCACAGGCCTGGAGTCTGGGAAGTCTAAGATCCAGGTGCTAGCAAATTCAGTGTCTGATCCTATCACGGGGATACCATACTTGATATGGTTTGGCCCTGTGTCCCCACCCCAACCTTATCTTGAATTGTAATCCCCACGTGTCAAGGGAAAGACCTGTAATTTTCATGTGTCGAGGGAGGGAGGTGATTGAATAATGGTGGTGTTTCCTCCATGCTGTTCTCATGGCAATGAGTGAGTTCCCATCAGATCTGATGGTTGTATAAGGGGCTCCTCCCACTTCACACACAGGCTCTCTCTCCTTCTGCCTTGTGAAGAAGGTGCCTGCTTCCCCTTCTGCCATAATTGTAAGTTTCCTGATGCCTCCCCAGCCATGCAGAACTGTGAGTCAATTAAACCTCTTTCCTTTATAAATTATCCAGTCTCATCGGTGCGGGGGTCAGGGGACAGTGGCTCACACCTGTAATCCCAGCACTCTAGGAGAGGGAGACAGGCAAATCAACTTGAGGCCAGGAGTTCAAGACCAGCTTGGTCAACATGGTGAAACCCCATCTCTACTAAAAATACAAAAACTTATCCAGGCATGGTGGTACATACCTGTAATCCCAGCTACTCGGGAGGCTGAGGCATGAGAATTGCTTGAGCCTGGCAGGCAGAGGTTAAAGTGAGCTGAGATTGTACGACTGTACTCCAGCCTGGGCAATAGAGGAAAAACAAAATTTTATTTTATTCATTTATTAAAAATAAATAAATTATCCAGTCTCAGGTTTTTCTTTATAGCAGAGTGAAAATGGCCTAATATAACCCTCATGACCTAATTACCTCCCAAAGGCCTCACCTCCAAATACCATTACATTGGAGATTAGGACTTCATCATATGAATTTTGAGAGGATACAAACATTCAGTCCAGAGAAAGGTACTTAGAGTACAGTGAGGGAGACAGAGCTATGAACATATTATGTCCAGATAGGTCTAGAGTAGTGCACTGCCCAGATCACCACTTTGGGATGAGACACTCTTCCTCCCTATGCAGACTTGCCCATTAAAGACTCACAAATGAGTCCATCCACAGGTATTGCCCTTGGCTGAAGGGAGCTGCCTTCCCCAAGGTTACTGCCCCTTCCTGGGATTGGGGCAGTCTGCATCCAGTGACTGGCCAATGACTGGTCATTGAGGGAATACAAAGGCCAGTCTCCTTGCCTCAGCTGGAATAAACACTGAAGGACTACCCTGTCAGCTGAGGCCTCTGCTGTAATTTCACTACAGGTCAACTCTTCCTTTACCCATTTCTGTTTCTCTCACTCCCTTATAGATGTTGTTCCTGTGAACGCACTCTAAAAAAAACCATCTGGATATAAATCCCCATCTCTGAGTCCATTTTACAGGGAACCCCACCTAAGACATAGTGCAGCTTAGAAAATTCTTATTAGGAAAAGCCATCCTATTCACAGGTTGCCAGAACCTACTTTCCCAATAGAAAACACTAGTTACCTTGGAGGAAGTCTTTGGAGAAGAATCACCAGGATGGCCTCTTTACATTGTAGAAATGTAGGGAAGAAGGCACCCATTGCCCTGTAGAAACAGAGAACAGAGTATTTGTAGTGTGAGAAAACCTGGTCCTTTCAATTGTCGCAGTATTCAAAGCTGGTCTGTTGAGAATGTGGATAATTTTGCATAAAGGACCAGAAGCTTCCTGGGAGGGGAAGAATGGAGACCTGGAACCCTCTCTCTTTGAGGTTTATATAACTCCTCTGATAAATGGGACAGTCTCAAATGAAGTCCCCTGGTGAGAAAAGAGAAAAAGTCTCCAGAGAGGAACTCACTAGGAGCAAAGGGGAAGTCCCTGGGAAGCCCCCTCATGTCCCAGTCACCCTGGTGTGAAAAGTGGGCTTTGGAAAAAAGAATGATCATAAGATTGCAAGTTAAAGGGACCAAGAGGGAAAGATTTCTAACAGGACAACACTGAGGCCACGGGATTATCTTCCCTCTGAGGACCTCTTGGCCAGTGAGGAATATTAACTTGCAAGACTCTCATCTCAGAGACAAGCACATACTGGATTCCAAAACCGACTTTTAACATGAGCACTGTAGAGTAGTAACAGAATCAACCACAGTGGAAAATAAGGGCCTCCTGGAAACTGGTGAGAATTCCCAGTTCTATTTCTCAAATGTGAGCTACAGGAGTTTCTACAAAGTGGCGAAGGGAGGTTGTTACCAATTTATTTAACACTCAAAAGGAATGTAGTTTTATTTGTACTTTACTCTGGTGAAGGGGATCATTGGTTACAAGTAATTCTGAAACAAAGTGAATAGTACATTAGGAAGAGGAATGGCTGGGCACAGTGGCTCATGCCTATTATCCTAGCAATTTAGAAGGCTGAGGGAGGAGGACTGCTTGAGGCTAGGACTTTAAGATCAGACTAGGCAACAGAGCAAGACCATGTCTCTAAAAAATATTTTTATAAAAATTAGTTGGGTGTAATGGTGCACACCTATGGTCCCAGCTACTCAGAAGGCTGAGGCGGGAGGATTGCTTGAGCCCAGGAGTTGAAGGCTGCAATGAGCTGTACTTGGGCCACTGCACTCCAGCCTCAGCAACATGGTGAGAGCCTTTCTCAAAAAAAAAAAAAGGAGAGGCATGACTATTGTCAAGGAGGAAATCTTCCCAGAGAATATGAACCAAGCTAAGTCCTAAAGGCTTAAGAGGAGTCCCCGGCGGAGGGGATGAGGTGTGGCCATTCATCAGATGGGCATCCTAGACTTTCCAGGACCAAAGCACAGAGGTGAGAAGAAACACTGTCTCCTGTAAATAATCTACATGGGGCCAGGTGTGGTGGCTCAGGCCTGTAATCCCAGCACTTTGGGATGCCGATTATGAGGTCAGGAGATCAAGACCATCCTGGCCAACATGGTGAAATCCTGTCTCTACTAAAAAAAAATACAAAAATTAGGTGGGTGTGGTGGCACATGCCTGTAATCCCAGCTACACAGGAGGCTGAGGCAGGAGAATCGTTTGAATCAGAGAGTCAGAGGTTGCAGCGAGCCGAGATTGAGCCACTACACTCCAGCCTGGTGACAGAGCGAGACTCCATCTCAAAAAAAAGAAAATCTACATGGATCAAGAGGCATTGCAGGCAGGATGAGATCATGGAAGGCCCTGGCAACCGCGATCAGATGTGTAAACTTGATTTCCTTGACGATGGAGTCCAAGGCCTGAAGGATAAGTAAGGGAATGAATTAAAAAAAATTTTTTTTTAATAAAGAAAAGAAAAAAAATTATAAATAAACAAATAAAAGATAAGTAAGGGAATGAAGAAGGCCCCGCTGGGATTGAGGCAAATCTGTCAAACTGTCTGTTCCCAACGAAAGGAAGGAACTGTCCCCAGGCTTCTGCCAGTTGTTGCCATGGAGGTGGGCAGGCCTGGAGTTAGCAAATCTTCAAAGTTGTCGAGAAAAGCTGGAATTCCCAATATTTATAAGACAGACCCAGATTTTCTAAGTTGGCAGTTATTCCAAATTAAAAACAAACAAACAAAACACTGTGGGGACTAAACAAAACACCTTTAGATGCAGTCAGGGCCTCCAGTTCACCACCTCTGCCGGACTGAAGGGAGCACTCAGACAGAGAAGTGGACAGATTTGCATTTCAAAAGTCACTCTTGGGCAGTATGAGTAGAGAGAGTAAGAGGCTAGCGACAGGCAGACTGGTTAATTCAACAACAGACTTTTTGAGACCTCTGTATGTGACAAGAGCTGGAGTCACAATAGTGAGGTTTTGGAACCTCAAGCCTGGTGTGGGAGACCAGCTTAATGAGCAGTCCCACAAATGTGTGATCACGTACTATGCGTATACTCCGGGGAAGAAAAGAGGAAGGCCCAAATTGTGGGGGAATATGGAAAAGAACAAATGAAAGAGCTATTTGGGAAGTTTGGCAATGACTTAGATGGGGGAGAAAAGAAAGGGCATTTCAAGGTCTTACGCAGGTGAGTGGGTAGATGCTGTTGAGGAAAGAAGCAGAAAAAACACCATGGGGAAACCCTGTCACTATTGAGAGTTACATAAACCAAGGAAAATGTGGTTTAAACAGATGATGGAAAGGAATCAGTGAAGTCCTACATTTTCATTTTTGTCCTCTTATGGAGGCTTCCAAGCTGCCATAACTTGCTTCTTTCTGAAGATAAACCTGCCCTGCCCATCTCACAAGGCACTTGTATTAGTCAAGATTCTCCACAGAATCAAAACAAGTAGGATCTATGTTCATATCTATGTCTATATTTATTTGGTGTAAGGAATTAGCCCACATGATTATGAAGGTTGATGAATCCTTAAATCTGTAGTCAGCAAGCTGGAGACCCAGGAGAGCCAAAAGTGGGACGCTGGCAGGTTGAAGACTCAGGACAAGCCAGCATTTCAATTCAAGTCTGAAAACAAGAAGAAAAGCCACTGGCACAGCTTGAAGACAGGCAGGAGGAGTTCTCTCTTACCAGTGGGAGAGCAGCCTTTGTGTTCTATTTGGACCTTTAGCTAATTGGATAACATCCATCCTTATTGGTGAGGGGCAGTCTGCTTTACTCCATCTACCAATTGCAATGTTCATCCCAGGCCAGGCGTGGTGGCTCACTCCTGTAATCCTAGCACTTTGGGAGGCCAAGGCAGGCGCATCACTTGAGCTCAGGAGTTTAACACCACCCTGGTCAACAGGGTGAAACCCCATCTCTACAAAAAATACAAAAATTAGCCAGGCATGGTGGTGTCGCTGTAATCTCTGCTACTCAGGAGGCTGAGGCAGGAGGATCACTTGAACACAGCAGCAGAGGTGGCAGTGAGCCAAGATCATGTCACTGCACTCCAGTCCGGGCGACAGAGCCAGACCTTGTCTCAAAAAAAAAAAACAAAACACCAGTTAATTTCCACCCAAAACACCCTCACATACACCCCCAGAATACTTGACCAGATGTCTGGGCCATCATATTTTCTCTCCTGGGCTACTGCCATGGCCTCCTAACTTGACATGATGCTATCTGTGCTGGTGATTTATCTGTGATCTCCAAGATATCCTTCTATGCTCTTCTCTGTAATCCTGGGGTTGGGATGATGCAAACTAAATCTCTTCACCTCTCAGCTAGCTGGCTTCCTGTTAGGTTGTCCATTGTGAGGCATTAGGAATTAGGAAAGCAGAAGGAAAGAGGGGACTTCTACCTTGTTTTCACTTCCTGTTTTTCATTGCTACTTCAGTAGCAGCATGTTAAGTGGCCCTAGCTCCACCTCCTGAGTATTCTCAGTACCAACCTTGCTGTGCCTCTCCTCAACTCCCCGCCTCATGCCACACCCCCTCACCTGCTGGGCTGCACCTGAGGGAGGTCTGAGCACCTGCAGAGCCACACCCCTTCAGTGGAAGCACCAGCCAGACAGCCAACCCCTCATCAGAGGTCTGAGCAGGGCAGAGCCACACTCAGAAATCCAAGCACCAGCCCTGTGGGACCCCTCCTCCAAGCTCCTCCATACAGGCAACTCTGCCTGTTCTCTCCTGTTCCTCAGGCTTGGGAGTGAGAGCTCCTTCCTACAGTTATGGGTCCCTGGGTTACCTAACCTTTTCCTTTCTCCTTTTACTCTTTCAGCCTCCTAATGCCTGCAAAACCAATTCTTCATATTTACTGAAGTACCTCCAGTGTCTTCTGCTTCTGACTGGCCAATGGCTGATAACCCTTTTAATCCATTTTCCATTTAGAAGCCTTTTGAAATCCATTTTCCATTTACCAATTATATTTTGATAATGTGGCTCACTCCCCCGATATCCTAGTCAAGGTGCTGGGTTTCAAACAACAACTTCTGGCTAATGTTTAAACAGAAGAGGGATTTATTGAAAGTGACTAGGGAGCTCAGAGAATCAAGGGGAAGACTGGAGAACAAGGCACCAAGGAAGGCTGCTGCAGCAAAGCTCCCAGCATGATTTGCTATGCCACTGATACCATACCCCAGGAAACATATGGGCAGCCAGGTGACAGCGGACATCTGTTGCCACACGCTGGACTCTGCTGCCCCAGCACACTCCTGGTTCCACCACAGCCAACCTACTAATTTCTAACTGACCTTATATCTTGGAAGACAACCTCATGATTCAAAGTCCCAGGAGCATCTGATTGACGTTGTTCTAAGTGCCAGGGGAAGGGGAGAGAAACTATCTTTTCTATTCCCTTCTAAGTTGTGGCTTCAATAGTGGAACTGGTGCCTGATGTCCCATAAGTTTTGTGATTCCCCAAAATGAGACCCAGGGTGATAATTATCCAGTATGTTGCCTAAAGCCATCCAATAGCTTCCCTCTCACTTAAAGTCCCGAAAACTGGACTTAATGTCTGGTATGATCTGGCACCACCTAACTTTCTGACCTCATCTCATGCCAATCTTCTGTGCTCATGTTTCTGTCACATGGGGTTTCTGTTTGTCCCTTGAGCATGCCAAGCTCATTCTGACCCCAGGGAATCACTATTCCCTCATTCTGGAAGATCATTCCTTCTTGCCTTCAAGCATCGGCTCAAATATCTTCTACTCAGTGAAACCTTCCCAAGGAAGC